AATGCCATTCATTCCACCTTAATATGTTTTTTTAAACCCTGATTATACAGCATTTATAGGCCTATCAAGTGTATTTTTATATACCTATCAAGTAATTAGCTTAGACAGAGTATTGGTACACAATATCAGCAGAACATTTATTGGTATCGCAGGGAAAAAAAGTTGTTTTGGTGCATCCGAGCCAAAAAAAGTCATCTTTAGTCAACAACTTTTTCAGTATATTGCATGGCACATTAGCAATGGATTCACAATATTTTGTCCACGTCTTGCAGCCCTAGATCCATACCCTGGTCCTTCTTTATCTCTCTCTCTCAATCTCTCTCTCTCACATCTCATCTACTCACATGTGACATACAATCCAGTTCAGCGCCTCTAGAGAGTGTAAATAGCCTGGTGAGAATTTAATAACGTGATAAAGATACACAAGTGTCCAGCCCGGTCCACTATGAGGTCACCATGGAGGCATCCACTGGCAGGCCCTTGTAGGCTATCAGGGGAGAGGTGTCATAGCTATTTATTCTGCAGTTGACAGTGTCTAGAAACAAGATGCAATGTCAGTACATGTGGAGCGAGACAGTCTGATGTAGACGGTCGTTTGCTTTGGAAGTACACCAAGTTGCCCCCTCCAGTATAAAAAACACACAAATTTATGGGTTCCTATCAATTTTGCTGTATTGCTTTAACAGTTTAGTTCCAAAAAAAGTATTTTAGACAGATTTTGTCCTAGGAAATTTTAGGAAATATTTTGTCATTCTCATAAAAAAACAGCCTGGTAGGTAACCTGTGGGCAGGACAAAGAAAAACATTAAGGTGAACTAATTCCATAAGATATTGCAAGGTAGCACAATGTAGCATAATGCAACACAATGTAATGTAACATAACAAAACTTGCACAACATGACAATGTAATACAGTGTAATGTAATGAAATGCAGCGTAATGTAACAGAAGAGAACAGAATAGAGCCAAATGTAATGTAAAATAACAGATAATTGTGTTAAATGCATGACGTAACACATTGTAACATAGCATAACAAAATGTAGTGTAGCGTAATGCATACTAAAGTAATGCAGGGTAATATTAAGTAATACAATGTAACGCAATATAACGTAGCATAACGTAATCTAGCGTAATGGAAGATTTTATTCCATGCATAACGTAACAAAATGTAAAATAATAGAATAAAATATTACAAAATGTAATCTAACATAATTTAATTTAAGATGACATAATGAAAGATTTTATTCCTAGTACGTTTGGACCATTTCAATCGGTCCATTTTTCATAACATGCTCACACAATTTAAAAAGCAGTTAATGTTTCCAAATTTTGTCAACGATCATGTTAAAAACTGCAAAAAAAAGTGTAAATTTTTATGAGAGCAATTTTATGCAAAGAAGGCCTGCACAGTGTACTGATTCAGCTACGAGCAGTGAGTAGTATCACATGAAGGGCCTTATCTGCGCCCTCTTTGTGGCTGGTCTGTGTTGTAAATAGTGAAAGTGGATTTGGCTGTGACCTGACAGGAATTTTTTTGTTGAGTCACAGTGACAGTGTCAGCAGCTCATTAATCAGCCGCCCTATCTCGCCAGAACGGTGACAGAGTGTCGTGGGGTCGGAACAGCTGGGCTACTGCTGAGAGCTGCTGCCATACGCTCTGTTTAACAGACCACAGACTCGTTGAGTTGACCTCGGGTCAGGTCAAGCAACCTGAACTCAGATGAGAACCGCCGTCCTCAAACAGGCTTATGTAGACGGACCGCGTGTGGTTCAACAAGGCTCATGCCAAAGTGTTGATGAGTTTTTCAATTGTCAGAGTGCGCACTTCCAGTCTGAGTGGAAATGGCCTATTGTTAAGAGTGGAAAAGGAAACACCTTTGCACAACAACAACAACAACAAGAGCCAGAGGGTTTTCGGTAATATGGGTTCTTACTGGCACACATAAAACGTTACTTAACTGAGTCATCTTACACAACCCAAACCCACAATCAGGATGATTTCAGGGGAGGCGCTCCTACCTCGAGTACCTAAATGTACGAACTGCTGTCTTTACAACTTCCCTTGCTGAAATTGCTTAAGAATTCAGCCTCCTGCGCTCCATATGCGACTAGGCAGCTGTGCATGAAACACTACATATAATTTCAAACTAATGAGCCCAAACCCATAAGTTCAAGCAGACCTCTATATCTTTAGTCCAGATGTGTATGTGGTGATGTTGAAAAGCTGGTGCAATGCTTTGCCTGTAGGAGTAAAATCATCTAGCGGTTGACCACTCACACTCGAGTCAGTTTGGTGAAGCAACCACAGGATATCCGATGAAAAAACGGTGCCAACATTAAGACGTTGGCCACAGTAAGCAGCATAAAACTGAAGCTTCATTATGACTATAAAGCTGTATGCAAAAGTTTGGGCACAGTTTACATAATTTCTTAATTAAAAAGTGAAAGGAAGTGAACTCAACCAGTGCAGCAAAGTATTTTAAGAAATAACATTCTTCTGGAAATGTTAAAGCACAGCTTTATTTATTTTATTCACCTAAAAAACAGTAACTGTGTCATGTGCAGGAGTTTGGACACCCTTTCAGTTATTGGTAAATTCCTATTACTTATTTGATTCACTTAAAAAAACAGAAAAATTAGTACTTGTGCCATGTGCAAAGGTTTGGACACCCTTTCAGTGGTGAATTTTCACAACTTAATAAACTTGTTTGGCTTTAACTGACTTGTTAGGACTGGTTAAGGAGGTCAGGGATTGTCATTAGGAATTGTCAACTGATGACCATTCCAAAGAGTAATAAATTCTCTTTAAAGCTTGTGCTAACACTCAACAACCACAGGCTCCTCTAGGCAGCTGTCTGAAGAGCTGAAAATGAAACTAACTGATACCTACAAAGCAGGGGAAGTCTATAAAATATGTCAAAGTGCTTCCAGGTCAATTTCCACTGTCCAAAATGTCAACAAGAAATGGTAGTTAAGGGGAACATAAGTCAAGGCTAGATCTCAAAGAACAAAAAAACTTGCAGATAGAACTGTTTGTATGCTGGCCAGAAAGGCAAAGCAAAACCCCAATATGAATGCAAAGAGCTTGTACAAGGGTTTAGCTGCCACAGGGGTGGTGATACACTGTCCTACTGTGCAGCATTGCTTGCGCTAATGTGATATGCATATTCCACTAAATACCAACAAATTCAGAAGCAAATGTGACACAGTTAGTCAAGAAACTGAAGCTGAAAAGACCCTGATGTGTACAGCAGGACAATGAGTCAAAACACACCTCAAAACCCACCATGAAGGAATGCAAACTGTTTTTAGAGTTTTTAGAATGGTAGATATTAAACATGCTGTACATGGAAGATGATTCAAGAATATCGCAGAACTAGAAGTGTTCTGCAAGGAAGAGTAGGTAAAATTCTTAAAAGAACAACAGAAAGTCTCCAAGCTGGCTATGATAAGCATTTGGAAGCTGTGATATCTGCCAAAGGGAGTGTTAGGTACTGGGTGTTAAGTGTGCAAACATATGCCACAATGACTATTTTATTTCATTTTTTTTTTAGTTTATCAAATTTAAAGTAACTATGCATTAAAATGTACAGAAAAATGCTGCTGTTTAAAATGGTTCTTCTCATAGCTGTTCTTTTCACTTCCAAAATCAACAAAATGAAAATAATTTGGCTGGTGTACCTAAACTTTTGCATACAACTGTATGCCAACCTACATGGAGTACCAGAAAATATTATAATGTTCAGATTCCAAGAACTGATTCACATAGACTAAACTATAGTGTTGCCTTTCAGTCCAATTCAGAGCAAGCATTAAAAACGTTATGGCAACAGTAAATACTGGAGAACATTCCTGGAAATGGTTAGCTTGGGCCAAAGTGAAAAGCCCTGTGAGTCTATAGACTCAACAAAAGTTGGATTGGCACCAAACACACTTACATTCCTCTAACTACTTCTGTTACTGAGCCCTTGGGCAACAAACTTGGCCCCATTATACACCCCTGAGGTGCCCCATCTGCCCTTCCACTAAGGTTACAGTGAAAAAGAACAATAAGTGGCCTTACTGTGGCTAAATGAAGGGATAAAAGGAGTGGAAATGATCTCTGTCATGTGTGGGACGCCACAGTATGAATGCCATTGTGCCACAACGAGGAACAGCTTCAGTAGTCGAATCCTTTGACGGTGGCCTCAGCAGGCTTTGATCTTACCTTTCATCTCACAATGTGGCCTCTCATAAGCTGTTGTCACTCAATATGGTTACAGATGAGGAAGTGGTAGCGTTGTAAAAGGAACCTTGACCAGCATGGTGCTGGAATTATGGCCAGCACCCTTTCGAATGAATGGCGGTAGTCACGAAGAAAGTGTCAGAACGGTTAAACTTGATTAGCTGACTCAAAGGTTTTATGTGAACATAACTGCTTCGAGTCATTTCAATTGCCATAATGTTATTTTGTATACTTTGTGGTTTTGCCTTGAACACGAAAAAGAGGCCAACTTAAAGGAATCAATGTAATTGCTTTCCACACAACCATCTGGATAGACTACTTAGGCCTTACAATGTGATCATTTGAAGTGGTTTGCGTGTTTTTGGAAGCACACATTTGTGGAAGTGGACAACAGACGGGTCAGGATACAGGTGCTCTTTGAGTAAAAGACGTCATAGGAGCCTAAAGGCAGGAGGCATGATGTTTGTCTTGTTATATCAAAGCCTGGAAGATATATTTGTGTTATCATTCCCCCCTGCTTTTCTAAAATACAACTAAAATGGGAAACCAGACTCCAGACTCAGCTGCCTGCATGCGGAAGTGAGTCACGGAACTATGTTGGGCTGAAACATGAACAGATTCAACCGTTATGATAACTAAATTAAAACCATCATGGGATCTATGGACAGAATGAAATCTCTAAAGCTATAAAAAACATGGTTTCAGCAAATGAATGAGTTCTCATGGAGAGAAAAGAAATGAAATAAAGGAGGAAATAGAAGTCCAAGAAGTGGCGTTTTGTTTTTTGGTAGGTCATTTAATTCACATTCACAAATCAAGCAACAGACTGCATCAAGAGCATGAACACATTACTGGCCATGTACGTTCTCATTTTTCAATATAAACATTTATTTGAAAGGAAATGATTCATTTCTGGGCGAATTTAACACTGTCTGGAGGGAGAATACATTTCATGATGCCTCATCTAATACATCCGTGAAATATTAAAATAATTATTTCAAGGTTGTACCATATTACCCTATGTTTTTTAGTTTTTGACATTTTAATAAATAGCATTATTACACATAAAAATATTATGTAGAACCTTTCTTTTTTAAATACATGGTCAGGGTTGGACACTATTGGTATAAATCCAAATAAATATTAATAATATAAATAAATAAATTAAAAGACACTCACGAACAATATTTACAAGAGATAAAAAAAGGTAAAAATAATAAAACTGTGGACACGTCCGTTTATGACAATGAATGTCCCAACAGAGGCTGCAGTGCCAACTCTGAAGTCACTACTAAGGTCCCACTTGCTCCACATTGTTACAGTGCTTTATGTAGATCCAATGAGCCGATCCTATGACTTCCAGCCTGACAATCATGTTGGATTCTCTCCCGAAACATGGCAGCGAACCATATGCAGGGATACTATCCGACAGAGAGTGCACGACTTCGCTTTTCCACGCAGCCTTCTTTTCTAGCACACTGTGCTCTCCTTCTTGGCATTTCACTTCTCCTTTTTAATTCTGAGGTAGAATTTCCGCATGGTCTTCCTGAAATAAAGCAGACATGGAGGAGACCAAATGTCAGAGAGGCACACAACACATAGCATAATGATGACGGCATACGGGCCGGGACATTGTCTGGTGAACGTATGATGTGTTTGCTCATGCTCACCATGATCTGCGGCTTAGTGGTGCGGGGATACCTCAAGTTTAATCTTTTCCTCATTCTCTACATCATACGTGCCTCGCTTGTGAAACCTGTGGTTGACAACAAAAAGCAAGAGATGTTAAAGCCTTTAAATCAAGAGTTATTATTATAAAATACTTGAACTACTATGGAGCTAATATGTAACGGTGGGCCCATATACATAGCTTTTTTCATTATGGGTCTTGCAGTTCTCATTTGTCATAGTTCATATTCTGCATTTGCGGACTGAAAAACTGACCTGAGAGCCAACAGGAGGCCGATGATGGTGAGACACAGCGAGGACAGCACTACGGCCACCACGGCGAGGGCCGTCGTGCGGTTGTAACCTCCCTCAGGATTCCATACAGGCAGTGAGAAAGAGTGACATCTCTCCCCTGAGTAACCCGGGTTGCATCTGCACAGAAAAGAAAACGGGTCAGGTTTATGGATAATGCCACTTCATAGTGGTGGTGCCAAACAAAAGCAAATACAATGGGAATAAACAGAATGAAGCACGAGATGTGATGAAGGCAGAGCACTCACATGCATGAAGGGCCAATCTTCTTCAGGTACTGGCACGTTCCATGGATGCAGAAGTCCTTATATTTCTTCAAGCATGGGTTTCTCTTCTTGCCTTTTCCCTTCTTCTTGCCTTTTCCCTTTCTCTCAGTATCTTCAGGCCTCTCCGCATTCAGAACAGTGCTGGGGTCTTTAGGTTTGCTTGAAAATGCAACTGCAGGGGTAGAAAAGGCTTATTTCAGCAAAATGTGGAAAACTAAAAAGAAAGTTAATTAAAGACTAATTTTATTTGTTAGATTACCTTGGGGCATCTCGTAATCCCCCGACAAATCGTATTCGTCTTCTTCATCATCATAGTAATACTCCGGATCCTCCTCCCCGTTGTAATCCGTGAGCTTGCTGTCCTCGACAGGCCGTTTCTCGTTCTGCGCCTCAGACGTACGTAACAGGTGAATCACGGTTGCTTGTGCGGGCTTCTCGCTCTCATACCTGTCTATTGATGCACAGCTCACCAGAGCGAATGCTGCTGAAAAGAAAAGAGAGGGACGTTTAGTTCACTTGACTTTGGTCAACCTGATCACTCAGTCTGGTGCTCACCAAGTTTGCTCCAGGCTAAGCCACATACTCACCAATCTCAAGCTGTCGTGTTTGTGCAGATCAAGATCAAGAATCATTAATATGGTTATAATTATGAATCTGAAAAACTCTGTCTGCAATTGGATACCAGCAGAGAGGACTTTGGTTTATGGCACTGGCAACGTGCCAAAAGCAACTGCTGACAGAGTTTTGTTAAGTTTTTGGGTTTTTTTCCCCCGCATATAACAGACTGAAGCTGTGGGAGTAAATAGAAAAGAAAAGGACAAGAAAAAACGGATGTTATTAAGTAGAAAATAGGAAATTTCTTTTTTTTTTTACCCCGCCTTCGGGTCCTAAGTTCTACTACACACTTCCATGACCTAAGAATAACTCGGCCGGTTTGCATTGTGGTCCAAGTAGTTACTGAATAGTAAGTATGTAATAAGCCTAGGATTTTAAGGAGTTAAATAGGTTATATAGTGTGGAGCCCTACAGGGCAGTAGGCCAGATTTACTTGCATGCACAGACACTGATCTAATGCATGAACACATGGGTCAAAAATAAATAGATCATGTTACATAAAGAATATTCTTAAATAGGTTGATGACCAACTGAACCACATTGTTGCCATCTAAGAAAAGGCCATTAGACAACGGTGGCTAGTTTTAGCAGTAAAAAAACACAGCACTGCTGGAGTGATATGAAGTGGGCTTCATATTCACCAGCTTTATTCGAATTTTTCCGTTCCACCTTAAATGGTGCAGCAGGTCCATTCTGGCACTTAAGGTTAGAAAGCGCCAGAATGTAACCGCTGCACCATTTAAGGTGGAACGGGAAAATTCGAAGGAGAAGCTGAACTCAGCCTCGTCTGGATAGATAATGGTCTACTTACCGAGAACATGGGCGAGAAGAAAAACTCCAGAGAACTTCATAATGTCCAACTTGTATAGGAACAGTTGTGAAAAAGACGAAAAAATGTCCGCTTAATAACTTAAAACTTCTTTTAGGTAGAGCGTTAGTCCACACAGGCAGTCCTGACTGTAATCCGGAGATGTTTCCACCCTGTTGTCAGCAGGCAGACAGGCAGACAGGCGGACTGACTGACTGAGCGAGAGAGCCGCGACAAAAACCCGCAGCTGCCCGAGAACGAGCATTTAAATACACGGAGACACAGCAGCGGACAGCCACGCCCACTTAAAAGCACAATAAAAGTCCCTCTGTGTCCAGAGCTCTCCCAGTAAATGGTCCTACATGGCAAGTCTATAGGAATTAAAAGGGAATTCCACAAATTTTTCAAAATTACTCAATTATTCAGTCCTTGAGATGTAAACAAAGTAATTCAGAGTGGTTTGATGTGAAATTGTTCATTGGTAGAGAAATGTTACAGACTTCTTTACAGTGGTGTTGATAGGAACCAGGAGACCAGACATCTTCAACACAAATATAGCCATTTTATTTACTATCCAAAACCACCAGTGACCCTACGTGTGACTTCTGAGTTTGTTTTTAAAAAATGATGAGGTTAAAATAGTCTAAATCTAAAAATATGTGCCATGTATGTACCTCTCTGCCATAAATGGATTAAAATCAATGGATTAATATACATTTTAAGCCAAAACTTTATCACAAAACTATCCAAAAATGCATAAGACAGCGTATATCTAACCTCTTCATGTAATAACTTTCCATGAGGGAGCTTTCAGAGGCATCAAACTCTTCATACGTCTGTTTCTTATCACCACCACTGTGAACAATTCAGACTCTGTAAGTTTCTCTATAGCAGGGCACTTCACACCAAACCACTCTGCATGACTTTGTTTACAACTGAACCATTTAATTAGATTTTTGTGAAAATCAGTGAAGTTCCCCTTAAAAAGGGAGTTTGCCCTCCCTTCCCTTTGCTGCAGTAAAAGCCTCTGCTCCTCTGAGAAGGCCTTACACTGCATGTTGGAACATTGCTGTGAGTATTTGATTGTATTCAGCCACAAGAGCATTAGTGAGGTCAGGTACTGGTGTTGGATGATTAGCTCTGGATCACTCAGCTCATCCCAAAGGCACTGGATGGAGCTCCATCACTATAGAGAACACAGTTTCACTGCTCCACAGCCTGCACAGTAAGAAGCAAGTTGAGTTAACTGAACTTCCAATAATAAGTTAACAGAACAGTAATCTGTGTCAAACATGTCTACCGACATATTATTTGAAGTTCAGTTAAATAAAACATTTAAGGCAGCTCGGTAAGTACGTTCTTTTTATGGAGACTATACAAGACAAGTTAGTTACCAGGTCACCTTAAAAATTCCAGTTAATTGCACTCCTAATAGTAAGCTAACAGCAGAAAATATGTGTTTTAAGTTCTACTGATGTGATATTTGAAGTTTAATAAACTCAAAATTTTAAGGCAGCCCAGTAACTAACTTTTTTGAGTTAGACAATTTTTTAACAGTGCATACGTCAGCAATGGGTGCACCTTAAAATAACTGAATTCAATAATTAGAAGGGGGTTCTGGATACATTGGCATGATGTACAGACACTAATTTAACTCTATTTTAAAATAGCATCAGGAGCAGCAAAAACAACAACAATTATATCACACAGATCAGCAGGGAGACCAAGGATTAATTATTTATGTAATGCTGATATGTAGACTTGCAGTGAAAATGATTTATAAATATAAATGTATACATACACACACACACACACACACACACACACACACACATTACCTGTGACCTCAGTAAGACACAGTATGTCAAACACTACATGTGCTTCTGTCATGTAAAAGAACAGAGGTGCCTTATTGAGCTGCAGTATATGCAGGAATGCTGCCACCTAGTGAAGATGTCATGAATCTCTGCGTCCTCTCAATCCTCACACTCTTAAATGTGTGTATGAATATTCTTTTTGTGCAGCCATATAAAAGGCCTGTTTTGATTTTGACGGTTTTTTGTGAAACCAGTGCATTTACATATATCCACATATTCAGTCTACAGCGGTTCAGCTTTCGTGCTGAAATTATACGTTTTAGCACAGACTGCAGCCAATCACTCCGAAAGGCACAGTAACAAAAAACAGCCTGTTTAATTCTAAGAGATAAAAAGTTCTTAAATGTTTGAAACATTTGTTTTAAATATTTACAAATGCTTTCAGTATTTACATACTGTAGTGACCCACTATTGGCTGGCGCTGGCACCGAGAGACTCTGGAGGTGTGGCTATGCAGACGGCCACACACAATGGCTCATGGAATGTGCACGGCCTCCGACAAAGGTACTTGTTGTTGTTAATGTTGTTGTTTGTTAGTTTAAAGTTACGTATAAGTGTTACTTGTGTTGCTCTGTGTTGGGGAGCGGGGTTATTATGTGGGTATTTGTGTTAGGGGTTGGTCACTGTCAGGGGGAAGCTGGTGGCTAAAGGTGACCTACCTCACGATTACAGTGCTCTGTTTGGGCCTTTCTGCTGGTGTGTTGAGTAAACAGTGCTTCTTGCAGCAAAAGCATGGCCTTTCCTGTTTCTTCTTTTGTCAATTTCACAACATGTAAAGAGGCACTCTTGCCAAAATGAACAGTTTAACTATTGTTACGTGTTGTAAACATGTGTACTTGCCTTCTATAGCTGCGTCACAGTGGTCCCAAAAGTGAGATTTTTAGGTTGATGATGACTGAGGACATCTGATGATCTTGTAATGTAAATGGAGAAAATGAATGGTATACTTACTTCTGGACATAGAGCAGCTGAAAAGAAGTAGGCGGCCACTTTTCAGCTCTGTAAGGAGTGTTTCAGTCTGGACTGCTTTTTGAATTGAGAACAGAGCTCTTTCATATATAACCGTCCTAAAGGCACAATAACAAAAACAGCCTGTTCAATTCTAAGAGATAAAGAGACGTTCACATAAAAATGAAGTAAAAAAAAAAAACAAGCTGGCATCAGTGAAGAATATGACACAGGAAACATTGCGCTTGGAAGGTGAATGTTTGTTTACTGTACGGGTTGCAAGAGAGAACCACCACTCAGCGCTGCTCCAACGTCTGAACCTGCAGACCGGTCACTTCTAGCCAAACACTTTCACCTAACTGTAGGCTTTTATACTGTTCTAACTCCCTCATAGCCCAACACAGAATAGCACAAACAACATGGGCACATCTTAAACTTAACACCAGGAACTTATTTAAAAAGAAAGTCTTTCCTACTGCGAACACAACACTTCCCAAGAGCCTCCTTGCACGGTCACTCTGCATAGCCACACCTCCCACACTCCTATAGTAGTATGAGCCAGTAGCGGGATGCTACTTAGCCCCCCTTCAAAGTCAGCCAGCCCAGTAACCTCACAGAGTTTGAGCAGAGTCTTTGGGGCACATAGGGGCATGACGTTCTTCCCCAGTTACTTCGCAACAGAGGTTTCAGAATGTCTACCATCTCTGTAAACACACGGTAATGGCGCTGTCTCCGCTGCTTTCCGCTTTTTGTTGCCCACCGTGCCAGCAATGCCAGCAAAGGTGCTGCCCATGTACACTGGAGTCCCATGTCTTACCCTTGGCCATCTATGCCACCAGCCCCTGCTCAAAACATTCCTGGGGGCTCAGGGTTGCTGAAACAGCTGAGATAGAAGGCAGGTCACTTCTAGCCATACACTTTCGCCTGATGGCATTAACACTGTACTAACTAACCCACAGACCAGCACAAAGCAGCAACATGGGCACATCTTCAACTGAACAACATCGACTTATTTCAAAATAATCTTTCCTACCGCCAACATGGCACCTGCCAAAAGCCTCTTTGCATGGTCACTCTGCATAGCCACGCCTCCCACACTCCTCTGGCCGCACGAGCCAGTAGCTGGACGCTACAGTATGTTATAGTGAACCTACAAGACAAGAAATATTGGATATAGGGCCTTTAACTGGTAGAGCATGGATCACTCCGTTTACCAGTTAAGATGATTTTAACACTAAGATACTTTTTGGGAAACTGGGCACTGATTGGTCACCACTCAGCTCATTTGCATAGAATTAATCCAGAATGAAAGAGAGTAAAGTGAGCAGGATATGCATCTGTGCTTTGTTTTGTCAGATATTTGAGTACATTCTCATCTATTGTCATTTCTAGCATAGTTATTACAAGTTTTATTTGAAGTAAATCATCAAAAATACTCACACCTTCTCTTGTCCCTGCTTGTGTGGGCCCAACTGAACGCCTATGTCAGCAATGGATGCACCTTAAAGGGGAAATCTACCAAATTTTCAAAATGTTTAAATAGTTAAATAGTTGAGATATAAACAAAGTCATTCAGAGTGGTTTGATGTGAAATGCTCCATTCAAGAGAAACTTACTGAGTCAGAATTGTTTACAGTGGTGGTGATAGGAACCAGACGTCTGAAGAGTTTAATGCCTCTAAAAGCTCTCTCACAGAAAGTTGTTACATGAAATGGTTATGAATACACTGCTTGATGCCTGACACATTGTTTTATGATAATTTTGTGATAAAGTTTTGACCTAAAATGTCTTGTTACTCCATTCATTTTAATCCATTCATGGCAGAGGGGTACATGATGGGTGTTTTTAGACAAAATAATCCCCATAGAAAACTTATTTTTTTCAAATTTATCACTATGTTACCATCATCAACATTACATATAAAAAACTTGACACGTGTAGGTTCACTGGTGGTCTTGGATAGTAAATAAAATGGCTATATCAGTGTTGTAGACATCACCACCACTCTAAGAATATCAGTCGGTATGTTTCTGTACAACAAACTATTTCAAATCAAACCACTCTGACTTTGTTTACCACTATGACTTTGTTTACACACTAAATCCCACTTTAAAGTAGCTGAATTCACTGATTACTGAAGTACATCGTCATCTGTAGTTTTTTCTCCCCTGGTAAATGTTTTGATAGATTACTCTATCCTGACATCGTCTGGCGTATCGGTAAATGATTACTCTGGCCTGCCGTCATGTGGCTAGATGCGGAAAATGGCTGACGAAGACCAAAACAGTGAAGTTCAAAACATCGATGTTAAAGAGGGAGAATCTGCAGAAGCCTCCGCGGAGCAGGACTCTGTAGCGAGGGAGGAAGATGGTGAACGGAAGGACAAACCTGCCGACGGGTCTTGGTCGGCGCCGATTCTGTCTTTGGCTCGAA